ATTCATTAAGGGGTAATTCTCCAATTAGGATAGTAAATCTGACCACATGTTCAACAGACGATTGGCCATCTTCTCCAGAAAACATTAGAGATTCTGAAACTCTAACTTGTCGAAGTAATGGATAATTGCGTTTTACCCATTCTGGGAAAGGCTTCCGCTAGGCAAGACCGTGAGGCCCTTGGCCTTAGGCGCCAAGGTGTTGGCGTACTGCATCTTACACCATTTGCACGACATCTGGATGTTTTTGTGCAGGTTGTACCATAGGTTGTAGGTTCCACTATGGTGGTTCCATAACAATATTAGGTCTCTGAGCCGCGGGTGTCTGAGGCTGGTGAATGTAGGGCTCGGCTCCGGGGAGGTCCGTATGATGGAGTGATCCGTTGTTGATGAATAGGCTGTGGATATGGTTCGCCATTGTGAACCAGCGTCGGAAATAGCTCTAGGCATGTCCTGTGTTTTTTAGGTGCACTATAAGTTTGGGTTGAGGTGGCATCTGTAAATAATGGTACAGAAACTTACGGCCAGCATTGGGCATGATTTCCAAATTCAACCGAAGTAAGTGGCCGTAATTGGTATGTTCCAATATCGCCTTCGATCTACGCAGTCGGTGGAGTTGTACTTGCTATCCGTTAGGCTGTAGTCAAAAAATTGTGGATGAGTTGTTAGCAAATTCCTTCGGATAGTACTGTTATACTATCGTGGGTGGCCGGGTTTAATGCTTCCTGGCCATTAGATGGCGCCGGCCTTTCTACCCGAATCGGAGTGAATCTTTCCGGGATGGATGCTGGGGGTGGTGAAAGACCTGAGGATGTCGTTTGGACGACATCGGTTTCTTCCGCCAATATTACTGTTTCAGAACGAGCCATCAGACGGCACACAAGTCTTCATAAACGTAATTTGGTGAATTCAGAATTCGTGAGGAACAAATTAATTATTCCACTGGGCGCGCCAAAATGTTACTGTGGGTTAAAATTTTCCAACCGGATGATAACCAAGGGCTTCTTTCTGAAAGATTTATGAGTGATTAAATTTTTAATTTGTATCAAACGCAGTGCCCAGACGTTTGATAGTAAGAAACTAGGGAAGAAGAAAAAAATGTGAGAAATTGAAAATAAATGGCAGGAAATAAAAAGAAATAATAAATTTGATTGAGATGTTGAATTTAGGTTTTACAATGATTACAATGCCTATTTATAAAATCTAAATGATATGTGCGAATCAACGCAGCCCTCTACTTTATTAACAATGCGAAGAGATGCAACTCTTCCAAACAGAAATAACTACAATTAATTTATTTTCTAAATTTCTAAATTTAGAAACCAATTTCTAAAATAGATCTGATAAAATAAAATAAATATATTATTTTAATATTGGGGGCGCCTCTCTTCTGTAAAGTACGCCTGATTTTTGTAAATATATCTGAAAATATATTTATCCTTCTGAAATCCAAATTCACGCCTATCTCTTTGTAAATTAAATATGACAACGGCCGAATTATCTATAATATATCTGACCGAGTTATCTAAAATATATCTGAAAATATATTAGCCTTCTGAAATCCAAAATCACGTCCCTACCTTTGTAAATTAAGGGCGTGTTTGGCAATTAGCCCATAGCTGTTAGCTGATTCAATTAGTTGGTTTGACTAACTGATTCGATTAGCTGTTTGTATTAAAATGTTTGGTAAAACAACTGTTTGATATTAGCTGTTTATACGTAAAATGACAATTGAGGATATTTCTATTTTATTCTTGTTTCTAATATATTCAATTATGTTTTTTTGAGTTTAGAATGTTTAAAATATTTTTGTTATTAGTTATTGAAAATTGTAAAAGTGTTATAAAAATATTTATTTTTATTACAGTTAGATTTAAAAAATATTATATTTTTATTAAAATATATAAATAGTTTTTTTTATTGAAAATTATGTAAAATATAAAATAATAAATTTTTCGTGTATATATTTATTATGTTAGTTATCGATTAGTTCATTATATTTATAATTTTCAATAAATTTAATTTATTTAATTTATTTTTAGTATAAAATATATATATAATTTTAATAAAAAAAATAAATTATTAATATTTATATTTTTTATTTTATGTTGATTTTAATAAATTTATATATTTTACAGTTAAAATAATTTTTATATAAAAATTAATTATTTTAAATTTATAAAAGTAAAATTATAATATAATAAAATATTCTAATATAATTAATAAATAATCAAAATATATTTATTTGTGTAAAATGTATAATAAATTTTTAAGGGCATATAAGAAATAAAAATTTTTTTACAGAAAAAGCTATTTCAAAACGCGGGTAAGTTAGCTTTTCAGAAATTAGCTTTTTGGGTCCAAAAAGCTAATTTACCAAACACCTAAATTAGCTTTTTGACTGATTCAATAAGCTAACAACTCTTCAAAAAACTATTTTCCAAACATCCCCTAAATCTGACAACGCCCGAATTATCTAAACTATATCTAAGAATATATCAGCCTTCTGAAATCTAAAATCACGCCCCTCCCTTTGTAAATTAAATCTGACAGCGCCCAAATTATCTAAAATATATCTGGCCTTCGTAAATATTTCTGATTACGCCCGAATCTCCCAAGTACACGCCTAAACCTCTTGAAACATACGTCCATCCTTTTGTAATCAATTCACACCACCTACACAGCTATTCTAGTGCCGTTCTTTCTATCCCGACAACTTCTACATCAGCCAGAGCAACTTTCGCATTAGTGCAAACGACTTTCGCACCAATCCAAGCGACTTCTGAAATACTCGGGTGATTTCTGCATCAGTCTGGGCGACCTCTGCATCAGTTCAAACAATTTTTGCATCAGTCCAGACGACTTCTGCATTAGTCCAGATAACTTCTGCATTAGTCCTCGCAATTTCTACGTCATTCTAGACGACTTCTGCATCAGTCCAGATGATTTATGCGTTAGTCCGGACGATTTCTGCATCAACCTGGACGTGATTTGCATTTATCTGTGACCCGAAAACTTATCGCTTCAACTTATGTTTCCCTGGTATAATTTCGATTTTTTTATTATTGATTCTAAAAATCCCTTCTAAACTAAGATGTTTGATCCCTTTCTTGTTTATTCTTTTATTTAGTTTCATGGGATAACAAGTTTAAAAAGTAATTTTAGAATTAAAATTAAATTAGATAATTATGAGAAAGAAAAATATAAATTAAAATTTAGAACATTATTTTAAAATTTAATATAGTAGTCTCTGTTTACTTTATTGTCCCTATTTGTATATATACTATGTTAATTTTGAAATGAAATAGATCATACTTCCACAAAAAATAACATTGGTCTTACTATCCCACGTTGCTGGCGGATTCACTTGATTATAGTGAGGTCATATGACCCCACTTGATTTCTATATACATACATGTATTTATATATATATATATATATATATATTAATTATTTAGTTTTTTTTTTTAATCCAAATGCCCAAAATACGATTTTAATTATACATTCTTTTATATAATCATTTCAAGATACTTCTATTTTGATTTGATGTAATAATTAATTATGTAATATAGTACTCTCTGTGTCCCAAACACTCTGCAACATTTTATTTTTTATTTGTCCCAAACTCATTGCAATATTTCTAAATTTAGAAATAATTAATAATATTTTTATACATATTAATTTAATATAGACTTCACTTTATCTCATCATATCACTTAAATAAAAAAAAAAATAATCATTTCTCTCTCCAATCACATCACTTAATATCCAAATTATTTCAAATTATCATACTTAATACTCCCTACCTAAATTCTCGTGCCAAACACAAATATTGCATGGTGTTTGGAACGGAGGGAGTATTTTCTAATCTATGGATCGGTTTGGGTATTGATTTGGTCAATTTTTTCAATTTTATTTATTTGGACTGCAATTTAAGTTGGCCATTTGCATATTCAATTTTTTCCACTTTAGTTATTGTAATTTTTCTTTAATTTGTTTTTTTTTTTTTTAATGTTAAGATTACCGGTTTGTTTGTTTGGAACTTTAGATTGTGTAGTATATCTATTCGAATTGCCTTGTATGTTTTATTAAAAGAAAAAAAAAATGCCTAAGTGTTACAAATGGTATAATTTTTTACATATAAAAATGCTTAATAATAATTCATTAGATTGTGCACCCACTTGAAAAAGTGATTGGATCTGCCATTATCCGACATATATTAATGAACAAGTACCGCATATATCTTCTTGCACGTGAGAGGGCGTGTTGATTGACTCTTATATGTAGATAAATTAAGGATATTCGATGAATACTTTCGTATCGAACTGGAAAAGCAGCATGGATAAGGTGTTGAAAGAAATAATTTCAGCATGATACCTAAAATCAAATTATGTATAATTATATTAATTAGATAATGTAATGATATAAATTAACATTATTATTTTTTAGTTATTCAGCTATGTGCTGAAATTATTTTTTCAACATTTGATCCTCTCCCCTGGAAAAGTATAAATTAATAAGCGTGTAAACATTATTTGCTATAAATAAAAAATACATATTTTTGTTGACACTAGATAATAAATGAAACTATTGACAAAGAGAGCCATATATTAAGTGCATCTCCAATGCAACGTCAATTTTGACGTTGCAACCCCATTTATGCCGCCGACGGTCTCCAATCGGGTGCCAATTGCAATACCATTTTTTGTGTTTGCTACAGTACAACACCATTTTTGGTGTATTTTTTTTTTTTTAATTTTTAAAATTATAAATTTTACTTTTAAATTTAATTTTTATTTTTTAAAAATTTTATTTAAAATTATAAAAATAAAAAGTTGTTTAAAATAAAGGAAAAAATTGAATATTTGAAGAATAATAATGAAAAATGGAGTTACGATGGGAGTAAAATTACTGTAAGAACTGCATATTTGGAGTTAAAACTGGATAAATGGAGTTGATGTGTTCTAAGGAAGAAAATTAAAATAAATACATAATGCGATAATTGTAATTAATATTTTTTTGACAAATAATGTGAAAACATGCTAATCAAAGCGATGGTCTCACTCGAACCTTTGTTGCCATCTCAAAGGCATATGCAATTTCAATGAGCTTCCCCTCACTACCCTTCAATCCTCCAAAGCAAATCCCAAACGGCATTCCTCCATCGGTCGCATACCCAGCGGGAACGGTCACCGCCGGGTGCCCACCAATAGCGAAGACGGGGCACGCCCTCGATCCCGGCGTCACCATTGCGTCGAGTTCATGTTCCTTCATTAACTTCTCAAACCCGTTGCGCGAATAGTTTTCCAATCTTGTTAGGACAGCCTTCTCGTGCTCTCCTATGCCGTCCGTTTGCTCGGCTGCTATGAACGTTGCCTGGTCATAATCCCCGAGCTTCTCCTGAAAATCAAAGTTGTCCAAGAAAGACAACATGAAATCTGTTTTGACGATGTCTTGGAAAGACACTCTCTTTATCCATCAAATATATAATTGTTTTTTTTTTTTTTTCTACTGTTTGTACCATGATTATTTATATACTTAATTTATCAAAAAAGAATTTAATTTATCGTAAGTACGTACCAAGTCGGGATTGCTCTCATTGAAGGCAATCGCATTTAAGGATGTCTTGAAGTCAGCCATCATGATCGAAACCTCACCGCTATGATGTGGATCGAGGATTGATCCAACTTGAGCTATCTCCAAGTTGTCGATCACTTGTCCTCCTTTTTCCCTGTATTTCTTATTTGTGTTAATAGCTATTATTTGAGTCGAATCGAGTCAAATATTTCATCTTTTAATTCATATTGAGTTTTTATATAAATACTTTTGAATTTTTTTATATTATTTATGATAAATAATTTTTTCTTAAAAAATATTGTATCTCAAATCAAATACCCTTCTTTTTATTTAATAAAATATCACAGTAAATATCTAATATTTTACCATTCTTAACACTATTAAAAACTTCTATATAAATGGAGACATACATAATTGAATTTGACTTGTATCTATTGTATATTTAAAATAGACACTATTAGAAATATTTAAAATTGTCTCGAAAAAATTATCTCAAAATCTATATATATATACAAGAAAATTAATTAAATATTTTTGAAAATTATCTCGAAATTTTTTTTGCGATTGTTTAACCATGGCAATCTAGAAAGTCGTAGATTAGCGAGACAAATTTCTTTGTCAGAATTTATTGAAAATGCATATAACACTTTATATTTTGTCCATTGTATAAAATTTTTCATTCGTAACTATAAAATTTTTATTAAATATCTTCAACATTAGCTACAACTAAATGCACCTATTCTCGTATGAAATAGGAAAAATATTGTATAATTTCAAATTATAATACTCTATTGATATATATATATATATAATATCAGCAACTTATTCTTTTCAATCATTTTTAAGAAATCGCATGTTGCTAATAATAATGTAGATATATGTACAGCCGCGGATGTATTTGGGGCAAGGGGGCAGCAGCCCCCCTCCCCACCCTAGCTTCTTTTTTTTTTTTTTTAATACTATTTAATAGATTCTTATATATGTATAATACTAAAGTTAATTATAATAAGTTTTTAAAAAAAAGTGCTAAAAAATTCTATAATTTGTGTTTGTTTTGAATTTTAAATTTTGAATTAGGTTTTAAAATAGTAAAAAAATAAATGTTTGTAATATTTTGAATACAAAATTAATTTTTAGAAATATAAAAATTTGATTCAACTTTTTTTATTTTTTGGAATAAAAAAATAGTAAAACCCATTTTTTTTTTAAAAAAAAAAAAACTCAAGCCAAATATGTAAGAGAAAGAAATAATATTTGATATTTTTTTTAAATGGAATGATATATTTTAAACCTACTTTGTTAGAGTGATTTGTAATTTTTCAAAAATTTAAAAAATTAGCTCATTTTTATTAATTTCTGGTTCCGCCACTATATATGAATATTTATTTATTTTTTAACATCGTTTACGTTGAGTTTTCAAATAATTCAACTCTAGATAACAAATTAAAAAAATATATTAGATCAAGATTTTCTCAGCATTAGAAAGTTTAGAAATAATAAAAAAATTAAGTTTTCAATATAATGTAGTATTTAAAAAATATATATTATTAATAAATAGTATCAAAATTTGTAAAAATATATACAAAGGCATACCTAAATGTATTGATATGGCGCTCGAACGCAGTAAGTTCGTTGGCGTCGTGTATTTTCTCTACAAACGGATGCCGGACAACGCCTAACCTCTTCCCTTCGAGGCCATTCTCGTTAAGAAATTGCAAGTATCCGCCGGCCGGAATAAAATTTCCGGCATCAATAGTGGCTTCATCTCTCGGGTCGGGGCCGGCGATCACATCCAGCACGCAAACGGCATCCGCCACTGTCCTGCATATCGGTCTGCACGGCAGTGTTCAAATCAAACACGACCGACACATACAATGCAATAAAAATACAAGTTTTTCTGAGCATGATGGGGTAGTAATTATAATACCCGACGGTGTCCCAGCGCGGCGTCATCGGAATGACGCCTGCTCGGCTAGTGAGGCCAACGGTTGGTTTGATGCCGACTACGGAGTTGTGGTCTGCCGGAGTGATGATGGAGCTATGCGTCTCGGTGCCGAGCGCAACTGCCGCCATGTTTGCCGCCACCGAGATGGCGGGCCCGCTGCTCGACCCGCCGGGTGTACCCGACGGCGAGTACGGATTCTATATAAAAGATTTGTTAAAAGATAAAATCAATATTGATTAAAGTAAAGCCGAATTCTGTATAAAAAATTTGTCGCAAAATAGAATAATATTGTTTAAAGTAAAGTTGTTAAACAAGCCGAGCTGAGCTCAAAAATCTGAAGTCTATAAGCTAAAATAATTTTTAATAGATTGAGCTTGATATGTCTTATTTCTCATTCAAAATTTTATGCAATTCAAAATGTTGAATTTCAAAACTTCTAAACTTTATTGAAATGAAGCTAAAATTTTGACTATAGATACATTATATACTTTATCTATCTATTAGTATATTTTTTATTTTGATTTTTCCACGTAAATTGAGGTTAATTAATATTTATAGATATCTAATTGTAATAAACTAATATAATATGTTTGAAACATAATGTAAAAAAATAAAAAGTAAAGTATTTAGATATTTAATTGAAAATAATTTTTTTCTAAAAGCTAAAATAAGAAATTTAGATTTTGACAAGTTAAAATAAAAAATTTAGTAGTTGATGGAGGGAGTATATAATTTCTATTTTTATGTCCGCCCCAAAACAAATATATTACTTCTAATTTAATAATTATACTAGTTATCTAATATACTAAATACTTTTATAATTTACAATATATTATTTTTATTTTTTTACTAAGGCAAAAAATAAATAATACTCTGTTACCATTCAAAACACAAACTTTTAAAATATATATTTTTAAATAATAATTTAATATAATGGAGTAATCAGAAAATAATAATAATAATAATAATAATAATACAATCCGTCTATCAAATTCATGGTATTTTTTATAAAAAAAAAAAGAAAAAAAAATTGTACTTATTTACCAATTTTTTTAATTTAAACACTTTTAACATTCTATTTATTTACATAGATGCCATTAACATCAACAAATATAGATGTCAACGTGTACAAATTCAATCTGTCTAAAATTTTTCACCAACTAACTTTACGTTACAATCAATGGTAACTGGACCCCTTATCAATGGTAACTGGACCCTTATCATTTTAGTCTCGTAAGTAGAGCCTATCACAAATTATTTCTATAAATGAAGAATTTTTACTGTTTTAGTCCTCCAGCGCCGGAAACGTCCACGTGGCTCGCCGGAGGTGACGTGTCCGCCTGTCCGCGAGGTGTCGCTGACCTGGCGGGACACCTGGCGGACACGTCACCTCCGGCGAGCAACGCGGGCGTCTCCGGCATCGGAGGACTAAAACAGCGAAAATTTTTCACTTATGGAACTAGTTTGCGACAAGCTCCACTTACGGGACTAAAATAATAAAGGGTCCAATTACCGGACTAAAAAAACAATTTACCCATCAATATAATAATATTATTCAAACTCATACCCAACTCATATAGGTAATTTTTCATAGACGAGTAGCATCTATTTTTATAAAAATACTATAAATTGGTTATTAAAAATTTAAATAAATTCCAAGTGAAATATTTTTTTACTATTTTTATTTGTCTTACTTAAAAATATTTTAAACTTTTTATTTAAATTATACTCACCACGAATAAGAATAAATACATTTGGGGTGTGTTTGTTTGGAAGTTTGGATTTTTAGTTGGGATTTGAATAGTAAAAATTTGAATTTGAATAGTTGTATGATGTGATATAAATAAGATTGACGTAATATTTTGAATATAAAATTAATTTTTAGTATAATATAAAAAATAAAAAATAGGTATTTGATTTGATGTTTTAGGGGAAGAAATGAGATGAATAGTATATTTAAAATCCAATCCCCAAACAAACACACTCCAATGAAACTAATGGAGTATTATATAAAAAGAAAACTATAAATTTTAAAATTCAACCACAAGCTAAAGACTAAATTGACAATAAAATTTATTTATAAATTTTTAAAAATAAATTTTATTTTATTAATGTATTTCTTTAACACTCAAATTCAAAATTTCTACTATTTAAATTATATTTTTCTCAAATATGTATATATTCACAAAATACCAAATTATATATTATCTTAATACTTCCTCCGTCCTGACCTGCTGCAAGGTTGCCATTTACTTTTTACACATAAATTTTTAAATATTAGTATTATAATAGGTTGTAGTGAAAAAAGATAAAAATATCCTTATTAGTATTCTGTAATATAAAAGTAATGACATTAGTGTAATATAGTGTAAATTAAAAGGATATTTATTATATTAGGTACGTAGTACAATTACTAAATTAGAAAATAATACAAAAATAAAAAATGACAACGTTTCCATGCCACGGAGGAAGTATAAAATTTAAACTAAAACCTTACTCTGAGATAAGAAAAAACACATTGTTTTAGCGTAAACAAAGGAACCCAACCAAGGTGCTGGGTCCCGGAGCTGCCAAAAAAATATTTAACCATTCATGACGGCGTTTGAATTGAGAGGCAGAGTACAAACCACTCCTTGTCCGGCGCGTGCGCACCACCCGTCGGGAACTCCGGCGAGGGATCGGAACTTGTACCACTCACTCATACTACATTTTCCCAGAATAATAGCGCCGGCGTTCCTCAGCCGCTCCACAACTCCGGCGTCGCGCCGCACCTTCGATCCGACGAGGGCGTACGATCCGGCGGTGGTGCTCAGCTCGTCGGCGGTCCCGATGGTGTCCTTCAGGAGCACCGGAATGCCGTGCAGCCGGCCCAGCGCCGCCGGCCGGATCGCCCGCTCCCGGTCGGACTCGTCGGCCAGCCGTCGGGCGGCGGGGTTCACCTCTACGACGCCGCGGAGTGCCGGATTTAGATCCGCGATACGGCGGAGGTAGAAGTCCACTAGCTGCGCCGCCGTCAAATCGCCGGTGGCGAAAGCTGCTTGGATTTCGGCGATGGTAGATTCCTCCGCCATAAATTTGTCCAGTTATTCTTTTTCCATGGAACCAAAGCTCGATTTTGAATTTGAAGAAATGTTGGTAAGAGGTGATTGTGATAAATTGTACTTCCTTCTTCCCCAGTCCCATATATTCGGGCACAAAAATTGGCATAATATTAAATAAAATAAATTAAAAATACTCCACCTCATGGTGTATTGTTACCGTCTAGATTTTCCCGTAAATTTTTTAATATTAATATTATAATTGATTATATTAAAAAAAAATAAAAATAACTTTATTAGTATCGTGTAATATAAAAGTAATGTATTTGTAATATAGTGTAAGTTAGAAGGTATTTATTACTCCCTCCATCTTACATAATTTATCCTTATTTTCTATTTTTGTTCATCCTAAGTAATTTGTTCTTTCTTTTTTAAAATATAATTATACACTTTAATTACATTTTAAACTCTATATTTTATATTTTTTAATCTAAATTAAAGTATTTAGTTATCTTAATAGTATTTTATTGTAAAATATATATATATTTATTGAAAAAAATAACAATAATTTTTTTATTTGAACTAAAAAATAAATACACAATTCAATTTTTTTTTTTTTTTATAATTTGGGGACCTGTAGTCTGTCAACTAAGTCCGACAAGACTAATCACACTAGACGAACATGTGTGGCAGATAAGACTATAAAAATAAATACACAATTCAATATTTTTTTTCTTTTATAATTTGGGGATCTGTCGCCACTACTTTCAGGATGCATTTTGGATAAACGTCAGGCCGAACCTAATAGTCTGTCAACTAGGTCCAACAAGATAAATCTAGAATAAAAAAACATGTGTGGCAGACATGACATAGGACAATTCATTTTTCAATTTTGTTAGGGTGTGTTTGTTTGAGAGATTTTACCCAAAATTCACTATTTATTCAAATTTTTCCTCAAAAAATATTAAATAAAACACCTATTTTTTATATTTTAAATTATACTAAAATTTAAAAATATCATATGAACACCTATTTATATCACATTATACCATTATTTCAATTCAAAATTTTTATTATTCAAATTCCAACTTAAAATCCAAACCCAAACAAACACAACCTTAGTATATTACGTAACGTTAAATATGGATCAAAGCAACACTTTTTTTATTTATTTATTTATTTTTTTTTTGCACACATAACTATATATTTGAATATATGCACACACATATCTATATATTCTCTATTATTTATAAATATATTTAGTATTTCTATGTCGATTAAAAACTATTACTAACTTTTTATATTTAGTAAGTAGAGTAAAAATCTAATCTAATATCTAATTTCATAGTATTGTATTGGAGACGAAATTATTTCGCTGCTTGTTGACTTTTCAATTTTCTTTTATTTCTTTAAGATTTTTATTATTGTGGAATCCACTATTTAATAATAATAATATAATATAACATAATATAATTTATTTGAGTTTTTCTTCAATGATTTTTTTTTTTTTTTAACAAAATAGCAAAAAAATTTATTGTGATTCCCGAATTTGTTGAAAATTCCTCGTAGTTCTGAAATTCCAAAAAATTTACTTAAATTTACTTGTGGTTTCCAAAATGTTGCAAAAATCCCTCTTCCGTTATGATTTAACGGAGGTTGTATGTCATGAGCCTGAAATGCAATTTTTTGTCCATAAACTGATATATTTATGTATAAAATTACTACAATACCATAATGATACTTTTTACAATAGCTTTTCTTCCTCATTCTTCTTCTTCCTTATTCTTCTTCTTTATACTTTTAAAATTTAATCGCAATTCATTTTTTCTTTCATTTTAAACCCGTTAAACACAAACAAATTTGAAATCGATCTCAAATTTATAACACAATTAATCGATCGGATATGAAGATGGAGACGGAAATGTGTAAGTTATTGCTCATTGTCGATTTCTTCCTCTATTTCACCATACTCACAAATCTAAGAAATTAATTTGACATTCAAATTTGCCCATCTGGTTCCAAACTGCCGGTTTTTCGGTTCTTGAACCGGCAGTTACGGTTCAAATAGAAACCGGATTCAAACCGGTGGAAACTGTGAAGAACAAGAAGGAAAAAGAAGAAGGGAAAGAACATGGTACCGCTGGTTGCAGCGGCGTGAAGAAGAATCGGGGAAGAAAGAAGAATTGGGGAGGAAAAATAAAATAAAGTAAAATTGGAGAAAAAGAGAAAAGAAAGAAGAAAGAAAATTGAAAAAAAAAAAACCTGTTGTGGCTCTTCTGGTCCAGCCGGCTTCTTCCTCTTTATCTTTATCTTCTTCTTCCCCTTCTTTTCTTTTTTTCTCTTTCTCTTCTACATCCGCTTTTGTCCGCCGTTTTCTTTCTCTTCTCATTCTTTTCCAATTCTTCATTCTTTAAAGAAGAATTTGAGATAAAGAAGAAGGAAAAAATATTGGAAAAAAAAAAAAAAGAAAAGAAAGAATCGAGTAGGGCTGCGACCGCATGAAGAAAAATTGGGAAAGAAAAAAAAAATGGAAAAAAAAAAAAAGAGAACAAGCCTAGTACGTGTGTGAAGAAGAATTTAGAGAAGAGAGGATGGAAGAAAGAACAATCCGGTGCGATTAAGGAGAAAAAAAAGAAGAAAGAAGAGCAAGAGAGAGAAATAAATTTAAAAATATATAAATAAAGATATAACGGTTAAATATGATAAAATTTAACGTATCTAGTCAAATTTAGAAAGACGAAAAATGTGCAATATTTTAGAAACTACAAGTAGTTTTTTTCTTTTATAAAATTTTAAATTTTCAGAGAAATTAAAAAACCACATAGAAATTTTTTGTTATATTACTTTTCTTTGTTCATTTTAATACGACGAATCTCATCATTTAAAAATAATATATATAATTGAATTTGATTTGATTTTTTAAAATAATAATATTAATAGATTAATAGTAATAAGTTATAATATTATTTATTATTTTTTTAAAAGTATTGCTAATAATTTTAAAATAAAATTAATATGTAATTAAAATAAATATAGAATATGAATTTAAATATCGTAAAAATGACATTTTAATAAAAAAATATATAATGTGGATATCATTTTATATATAATATACTTTATCTAATACATATAAATAAAAAATATTTTTATTTATTTATAATTAATATATATTAATTTTATAAAAGATGAAGCGTTTTATATATAGATAAATATGTGTTTATTGAGGAGAGATAAAAAAATTAAAGAGTTTTGAGTGCGTTATGATGTTATATGCTATAAAGTTTATTGAGTTGATTTATATTTATTAAGTATAATTTAGATTAGTAAGTTTTACCAAATATAAAAATGTGTCATTTATTATGGAATATATTAAAATAAAATTTGTATTATGTTGGGTTGGCCCATGATATGTTTTGAGGCCTTGTGTATTTTTGTTCAACCACATAAGCTGCCTTGGCCCGATTGTTGGCCTAGTCCAATTCATGGCTCACTTTTCACCATCGATGAATTTCGACCGTTCGATCTTGTGATATTATGTGTACCATATGATCTGATTTAGGGTTTGATATGTGTATATGCCTATGTATTGCACCGCGGCTGTATTTCACTCCAGATTCTTCCTTTCTCTATGAACGTGATCTCTTCTCCAACTCATTATTTTCATCTGTTCGCTCATATGGGTAGCTCGATAGGGATTTGTGTGCGATTGTTCCAAAGATTGTAATAGTTGAGGCTTGTTAGTGTGATTGGTGAGATATTACCGTAGATTCGTGAAATTCTAACGATAGTGAGGGATCGATCGATTTAGTTAGGGTTTGTTCGATTTTGGTGAGATTTGGGGCTGTTCTCGACTGTTTGGCCACGCTGGGCTGAGGAAGCCTCCTCGCCGTTTCTTTCTAACAATAAGAGTGTGCTAGGGGCTGAGTCTCAAATATTTCTTTGTATTTTTGTGTTCTCTTTCTTTGGTTCGCTTCACTACGAGCAATATTTAGAAAATTCTTTTTGTTCGAATTTATTATCAAGTTTTTCATATAAAATCAATTAATTTAGCATTGCACCTTTACAAATAATATATCTCAATTATTTTAATTTTCAGTTCCTGTGACCGCTTCGCTACATTCTCACGCGTTATCTGCTCTTGTGCTGATGTGTTCAATGGGCTCAACTATCCCGAATGGTGTGAACACATTCAGTTTCAACTTGGTGTTTTATGTCTTGGCCTAGCATTACATGTTGCAAAGCCTTTTGCTATTACTGATACTAGCAGTGAAGGTGAAAAATCTCTCTATAATGCTTGGGAGAGATCGAACATATTAACTTTGATGCTTATGTGGAAGAGTATAGAAAGCAACATAAAGTCTACATTTCATAAAATTGAAAATGCTAAGGAATTTATTAAAGCAGTTGGAGAACACTCTCAAACTGCACATAAGTCTCTTGCTGGGATACTAATGGCTTCACTAAGCACCATGAAGTTTGATGGTTCGCGATCCATTCATGAGCATGTCATCAAAATAATGAATCTGAAAGCAAGACTGAAGTCCTTAGGGATGACAGTGGATGACAACTTTCTGGTGCAGTTTATCTTAAATTCACTGCCCCCTGAGTATGTTTATTCCAAATGAACTATAACACCATGAAAGACAAATGGAATGTGAATGAACTTCACAGTAAGCTAGTTCAGTAGGAAACATGAGTTAAGAATAGGGCTCTCATTCAATTAATCTTGCTACCAATCAAAGAGCTCGTAAGAGAGCTAGGAACAAGAAAGGGAAGGGCAAGCATGGACCATTGAAATGAATGCATCGTCTGTCCAAGCCCCGAAGAGGGAACTCAATAATGTCAAGTCGCTTTTGTGGAAAACCCAAACACTTTCAAAGAGATTGTCTGAAACGAAAGACATGGTTCGAAAATAAAGGTACTAATGCTTTTGTATGTTTTGAATAAATTTTAATTGAATTTTCTCATAATACTTGGTGGATTGATTCTAGTTGTACCACTTATATTTCCAAGTCCTTGCAAGGATTTCTTACGATCCAAACCACAAAGTCAAATAAAAGATTTATTTTTATGGGGAATCGAGTCAAAGCTACCAT